TGATTAAAATCTCCAACCTTCTTGAGACACAGAGATCTGTTTCCAGAGATAGCAATGATTAACCTGTGTGGGCACTAATAAACTGCGTGAAAGACCACAGATCTTTAGGCAGGCTTGGCAATGAATTTGTGCACCAAGCCTCCTTTCTCAGTGGTATGTTTTCTTGCAAACACTGTGGGAACTAAATTTTTCATCTCAGTATCCCTTGTGCGCAGCATAATCCAAGCACAGAGGATATGGTAGAAGGCATGTGTGAATATTATGTGCATCATATGTCACTTACCAACTGCATTTCTCTGCTTCGTTTTACTTATATATGTATGATTGGATGTCTTTGTGTGTGTGTCCATTATTTGTGTGCAGTGGAACATATTGACAATTAAAGTTTGCATAGTGGTGTATTCATTATTCAACCTAGCTTTTTACTGAAAGCAATAAAGTCAACCATTATGCTTTTGCTCCAACGGATTCAAGATTTTCTTCCTTCTTAATTTTTTGTTTTTCAGAAATTTATTTACTTCCATTTCATATTACAATAGCTTTTAGCACCATATATGCTGTACCCACTAATGTGTAAAACATGTATTAGTAATTTAAATGGAAGGAGACAATGGCTGTGTAGTGCCCCAATCCGGCCCATCCCATTCCAAGGCTCACTGCCAAGAAGCAGTGGCTTTAACATTTTTACCAATTTCATTTGGAATTGACTTTTGTAGTGTGACTTGATCCTGCTAATTTCTCAGCTTTTACTTTTCGACATTACTTTTTTACCTTCAAGGAAATGACAATGGAATTCATTTTCGGTGTGTGCACACACTCACTTTCATATTAGCCAGTCCCCATCTCCTCCTGGTAATAATTCCACATTCCTTAGTGGAATACATATGCAATGTTTGTCATGAACACTGTGTGATTATTGTTTACTAGATATCGCGTTGTGACTATGCTTCTTTCTTCTGCGATATTTTGGATTTTTCTCCCCATTAATTATCATTTTCTTTTTAGCTATGGCCTTATAACAGTCTAACAGACTTCCAACTACCTCCCAAGTGGTGAAACACGGAGGACCTTCTGCTTTGATTTGTCTTGCCTTGTTTATTTGTTGGAGAATGTTCCTATTCAACCATGTCCTCCTTGGCTCCCGCACTCACACTGCTCTCCAGACCCCTCACAGGGGCATCGCCCTGAGATGATTGTGCCTGCCCTGTGTTTGATCTCCATTTCCCTGGTTCTCGGTCCCCACATCATCTTTCTTGGTTCCCTTCTTGTGTGGCAGTAGAGTACCCTCTAATCCCAAGAAAATGTTCACAGGGGAAAAATAAGATGTTGACATATTGCTGTTCCTTGCTGTCTTTATCTTCCCATATGATTGGTTCAACTGAACAAGAATCTAGACAAATCAAAATGCATGTTTCTCTTTTAACTTTCAAACTGGCTTCTTACTTTTAGTGTTTCCATGAAAGAAATTGCTGCCCTAAATTCCAGTCCTTTATACAAGAGCTATTTTTCCTCTCTAAAAAGCCGCTGGGTCATTTCTAGCTTTCTGTTCACTATGGACACATGTTTCCACTCATTGCTATGAATTCTTATTGAGGTCTTTCATTGTTGAGATTAATTTTTGTGACTTTAGGAAAATATGTTAATATTGTGCTAATATCGTCTTCTTTGTTTTCTAGTTTGCTTTGGCCCTGGGCATGCATTGATCCTCAACATTCACTCCTTTTTGATTTTCATACCTTTGTCACTCTTCTTGTTTTCTTAGCTTTTAGAAGGATTTATCATTCTGTGGAAGATGCTGTACATTCTTAATTACAGGATTTTTCTATTCTCTGTGATTTCTCATCTTTCTCCAAGTTTCCTTCCTTTCTTCCTATTTCTACTTCCTTGTATCTTCCTTCTCTCTCTCTCTCTCCCTCCCTTTCTCCCTCTCTCTCTCTTCTTGTTTGTAAATGCTCATCTCCAATTTTCATGTTAAGTCTGGTGGCAAATGTCAGATGACCCTCATTTATCCATTTATATTATTTATCCATTTATATTGAAGGGTAAGGCACTAAAACCTGATTATATGTGTATTGCACTAATATATTAATAGCCTGAATAAATAGATAAATCGGTGGAGACTTTTTGAGTACCATCAAGATGCAGATCTTTATCGCAAAGTTTCTGCCTCTCTCTCTCTCTCTCTCTCTGTCTCTCTCTCTTTCTCTATTCCTCTGTCAAAGCCTCAGTTTCTTCAAATGAATTCCCATTTTTCTTTAGCAAGGTACTTGCAAATAACTCAATATTGGTCTCCATAAATAATTTATTGATATTGTTTAATTTTACTCTTACAATTGAAAGTAAAAGATCTTTGCATGTTTAGTCCTGAAATTAGGATGGGGAACATCTCAAATGGAAAACTGGGAAAGGAAATTTATAATTTTTCAAAACCTTCTGGGCAAAAACTTAAGAAGAAAAGTGCTTGCTGTTCATAAGACAGAAACAGCTGGGTTTCTATAGGAGAAAACTAGGTTGCTTTTGCTTTTCATGGTTTTCTCATTTGATTCATGAGGGCTAATGTGAAGCAATCTTGGTGAGAGTCTTCAAATAACCAAAGGCTTTAACTCATGTAGCTCTTTTAATTGTGCACACCAGTTTCTTTCTTTGTTTCCCCAGGGCTGGGAGCTGCTGGCAGAAGAAAAAACAAACAAATAAAAATAAAGCATTTTCTTTAGTACATGGAACTCTGCAGTCTGGAAGTCAAGACCACTCAGAGTTCTAATTCTAGTAATTTATTAAATGGAACTGGCCTCATGACCTCAGACAGCAGCATTCTGATAAAAAAAAAATGAACAGTGCACTCACTCCTCACCCCTAATAGCTGGCATGAGGTTGATATCCACCAGTCCTGCCTTCACTAAGGTATCAGGTAATAAGGGCTGGTAAAGGATTTGGTGATGCAAGAATAACGCTTTCTACAATACTGAACTGTCAGAATGCTTTAAAAAATTGACCATGAAACATTGTTACCAATAAGAACTTGTTTTGTGTGGAATGTGATAAGCAAGTGAATATTAGCACATACCAATAGTAGGTTGGTCACCAATAAGGTGATACATCACAAGAGAAGTGGAGCAACTTATTTGTGCCATTTCCAGGGACAACGGGGGAAGGAAGGTACTATAGCTGTTATGTCAAGCACTAAACCTTGTGCTTTTATTTCAATGGAAAACACTTTTTTCTTTCTTTCTTTTTTTTTGTTTTGGTACCGGCAATCTCACTCAGTATCTTGCACTTGTGAGGCAGGCAGTGGAACCACTGAGCTAGATCCCCAGCTCTGGAAAGCACTTTTTGGTTTTGTTTGTTTGTTTGTTTGAGACAGGGTCTCATTATGTAGTCGAAAATAACCTGGAACTCACTATGTAGCCCAGGCTGGTCTTGAACTCACAGTGATCCTCCTGCCTCAGCTCCCGAGTGCTGGGATTACAGGGAGGCTGGAAAACACTTTTAACTGATCAAGATAAAAAAGAATTTAAAAAGCCATGAGAAAAACTGAAAAATGAAATCTTCCCATATCATTTCTGAACACACACATGTATAGTAACAGAGAAAGAATTTCAAGGAATAACTAGTAAAGAAATTAACAAGTAGACTAACAGTTCATTCTGATATGATCTAAAATAATAGGTATTTAAGATAGTTGACATATAATAACACACAAGACACATGAAAGACAATTTCTAGATGATTGATCTACTTCAGACCTCCTTTTCTGAGTTTCTTACTTTGAATCTTTATTTGACGGCTTTTACATTATCTACTGAATCAATTATAAAAGAGTTGGGGTTGAGGGAAGAGGAATATAGCCAGCTCCTGCCAGGTGAAAATCAATTAGAAAAAGAAAATAAAGTTTTTGAATTCATAATTTAGGGAACTGGAAACCTGAGAACTCATTTGCAACAGTTTTGTTTCGTGTGGCTTTTCAAGCACATGATGTTCAGTAATTGGCAGGCTGCAACCACAGAAACTGGGAAGTCAACGTTTTTCTCCAAGGCAGTCGACTGAGAGCAGAGCACTACTTCCTTGGAGGAAGGCCGTCCTTGTCTTCTTCGCAGGCTTACAGCAGAAGTTCTCAGACTTTCAAACGCCATCAGTAAGAAGGTTAAATCACACAATGGCAAGGAAATGCATGCGTGTAGGAGGTGAAAGGAACATACGCAGAATTACCAATATTTCTTTTCACAATAGAAACTTTGAAGAGAACAAAAATCACTATTTTATCATCTCATTTATTTCATATAAGGAGTGCAATAAAATCCAAACTTAAGAGTTGCTTTAAATTTAAAAAAAAATTAAATTTTTAAAGTGTCTGGTTTTAGGTAGCTGAAATTAAATTATGCATATATATATTTATATATAGGTATATTAATACATCTATATAGGGCCAGAGATTTAGCTTAGTGTTTCCACTGCCTGCCTCAAAAGTACAAGGTCTTGAGTTCGATCCCTGGTACAAAAAAAAAAAAATATAT